GCACCTTCCCTTCACAGAATACACAGGGAGCACCTTCCCTTCAGCCTCTGTACCACCACATTCTCTCCCTTCCCAAAAGGGAGCCTCTGAAAGCCACAGGCTCCACATTCACATTGGTATGTGCCTTAAGTAAAGGCTTAAGGCCAGAAAGCTGGGTCTCTAAAGAGAAAAACCCAAATGTATCGCGCCCCCCCCACCCCCCGACCTGCTCAAAAAGAATTCTCTAAATTCAGGTAAGAATCTTCAAACATGTTACATTTGACAAAACAAACAAACAAACAAAAGGACCAGACTGCTAAAGCTGGAGGCCAAACACCCACTCCAAGTTTGGCGCTTTAAGTGCAGCAGGAACACACTGCCCCTGTCCTAGGGAGCATTTCACCAGGGCAGCCGCCTGGGCGGGAGTGGCTGCAGAGGAGGTGGGGGGTCAAGGAACAAAGCTGCAGCAAGTTTCCTGGGTGGGCAAAGCCCAGGACTGCTCTCTCTGCCTGCTCTTTGTTTGCGTTTGCCTGCCATCTTTGGAGGCCTGCCAGAGAGCCAATGCAGCCCGTGAGGAAAAGTCAGCCCCTGCCTTACCGACCACTCTAGTCTGAAGGGTATTTGGGGTGCCTGGAGCCAACTCCAGCAAGGAGGAGTACCCTGAAAATAACTCCCTCCCTCTGACTGAAACAGGGACTCCCAAATTGTACCTGGGGCAAGAGAAGCAAAAATGGCAATGGGGATGAAAGCAGGCCTCTCCCCATCTTTTCGGTGCTCCAGAAGGGGCTAATCAAGGGGGAAAGGCTTGTCCCCTTTAAAAAGCAGCTAGAGTTGCAGAAGTGGGAGGGTTCCACTGCTGGAAACAACTGTTGGGACAAACAGAATGACTGTGAGGCAAAGGCTTTGGAGGCAGTTGGGGGTCTTGAGGAAGGGGAGGGCCCCAAGGAAAGGGAAAACACACTTTTCACATCCACTCCTGAGACCAGAAAAGCAGGACCTCTATGTACCCAGCCTTGGGCTGAAGAAGCGTGTTCCAACTAGAATCACCAGGGATGCTTTAGGGGGAGGGCTGTGGTGGTGAGGGGAAACAGCAGTCCCTCCCTCCAAAACCCGACAGGGGAAGGAACTATTTGTTTACATTCTTCCCCCTCCTGAGCGAGCTCCCTCCCCGGGTGGTGGGCTCCTCCTTGGGCAGAAAGCCTGCTTTGAAGCAGAAGCTATGTTCTTGCAAGCCAGTAGTTACCAGGGAAGCCTAGAGCCAGGCAGAGAAACTGGTAGTGGCAGCAGCAGCAGCAGCCCTTCTGGCTACTCCAGCCAGGCCTAAGCCTCAGCACCAGCCTCCAAGCTCTGGGAAAATGTGTGCGATGATGTTTCAAATCCTCTGAGGGGGATGCAAAGCTGAGCAAATATTTAAAAAACGCTCCACTGAGAGAGGAGCCTGGAATCGAGAAGGCAGGAGCGGGGGGAGGAGGCTGGGTCAACTGAGCAAGGTTATGAGGATATAGGTGAGGAGGAAATGCAGAGACTCTAATCAGGACTGAAAATCAGTTCTTCCCACTAGAAGACAGCTGGTATGCTCAAGGATTTGCTGAACTTAACCAAAATGAGCCACCATGTCTCAAGGCTATTTTCCTAATTATTAAAGGCTAACACCTGGACCTGTCACACTGGACCTTTTTAGTTCCTGTTGGGCCTGGGACAATGTCTAAGAGAAATATCCAACCTAGAATGCATGAGGCCAGCCCCTTACCTAGCAGCCCAAGACTTTTTGAAGTCCCACTGCTCCTTCAGGACCCCCTTCACTACAGCTAAGGCCTTTCCCAAACACTCAAGGAAATATGGACAGTGGCCTTCACCCCAATTCCTAATCATTTCTCCAGCCTGGGCTTAGATGGCACTGTCCTCTGAGATTTCCATGAAAATGCATCATTCTTGCAACTAGACTCCATAGGACCTATTCACACCACTCTATAGCACTCGCCAGCAATGTACTAAGCTGTACTACCAGTTTGCTCTTGTATTGAATAAATAATTAAATGCTAGAAGCAAGCAAGCTGATTTAGCTGGAGGTTTGACTAAAGCTGACCAACCACCTGGAACATTGGAAAAGGCAACACCTTCTGTTCTGTATGCCTCAACCATATTTGATGAAGCTGAGCAGACTTCTACAATGTGATTTTAAGTTGATCCCCAAACACAGCTTTATACCTCAGATTTGTAAGGTCTACCAGTTGGAAAGGCTGGGGGAAGGTGGTTTTTATATAGAGTAAAGCTGGGCTTGGCGGCATATGCTTGTAATCACAGTACTTTGAGAGGCTAAGACAGAGACTTTCTTCCCGTGCTACACAGCAAGACCCTGTTTCCAAAAAGGGGGAGGGGGTGGGGGCTGGAGAGATGGCTCAGCAGTTAGGAGAACTTGCTACTCTTCAAAGGACCTGGGTTGGATTCCCAACACTCACATGGCAGCTCACCACCATTTGCAAATCCATTTCCAGGGGATCTGATGCCCTCGTTTGATCTCTGTGGGTACCAGGCATACACATGGTGCACAGACATACATGCAGGCAAAACACCCACCCATACATATAGGAAAGAAAAAATATATATATTTATAGAGAAAAACCATATTATATATGTTACATATTTTACCAAGCATGGTAACTCACACATGACGTCCTAGCAGTTGGGCTCAAGCAGTAGGGCTGCTACTACAAGTTAGAGGTCTACCTAGGCTATAATAGTAAGCTCCAGGTCAGCCTGGGCAACAGAGAAAGAGACGCTGTTTAAAAAAAAAAAAAAAAAAAAGCAAGCAAGCACACAGGGTGAGATTACATTTTAGAAATCCGCTGTAACATAGCCTAGACTGTGGTAAGAAGGTGACAAAGGGTGGATGGGACCAGAAATGACAATGTTTAAAAGGTCATCTTAACCACTGGGCATATGTGCTAATTTAGCATCCCAAGAAAGGTCTGTAAAAAGAGAAAATCATATTTCACATCTCCTTCTGACTCCTTTCTTGGAAGGAATATAGTATAGACAGTGAACCAAGGTAATTTGTCCACTGTTTTTTAATTTCTCAGGTTAGTATACAAAATGCCCTGTCTTACAGAGTCTCACTTACATAGCCAAGGCTAGCCTAAAACTTAATAGGTAGTCCAGGCTGGTTTCAAATCCACACTCCTCCTGCCTTAGTCTCCTGAGTACTGGGATTACAGATGTGAGTAACCACACCTAGCTTCTTGAAGGCTCAGGCCCACAGCTCTAAACCAGCCTCAACTACTTATAACTAGAACAACATGGCCTACCAATGCACACTCACAAATCACGACCACCACCTTGCCTTGCCGAAGATCATCTCTTAGAATCATCTGAGAACAGACCTCATCCACAAAGGGAAAACCTTTTTCCTTCTCCTGTCTCCCAGAAGAATTGTCTTATTTTCATTGGTTTTGGTTTTTGTATTCTAAAATTAAATTCTTTTTTTAAGTCCATCTCTAACACATTCCTCAGCACAGGGACCATTAAACTATCAGGTGCCAATGGATTAAGAAAATAAAAAGGTCTATTCTCCTAACCTTAGTCTCAGACAAGTACACAATTCTCTAGTTAGGAAATAAAGAAAAAAAAATCATTAAAAATAAAGCATGCCTTTAACCCCAGCACTTGAGAGGCAGAAGCAGGCAGATCTCTGTGAGTTCAAGGCCAGCCTGGTCTATAGAGTGAGTTCCAGGACAGCCAGGGTTATACAGAGAAACCCTGTGATGAAAAAAAAAAAACACAAACCAAACATGAAGTTGAGGGAGTAGCTCAGGGGTAGAAACATGCTTATCATTCATGAGTCCCAGTGTTCCATCCCTAGAGCCACAAAAACATAGTATATAAAAGCAAAGATAATCATTCTTTTTCCCTTCAAAATTATCAACATTACCTCTCCCAATACATGAATGCTTTTTAGATTTACCTGGGAAACTACAGGTCTATTTTTTTACATTCATTTATTTATTTTGGGTGTAATGTAGCACTGGTGTATACATGTGGAGATCAGAGAACTACTTGTGAGACTCATTTTCTCCTTACATCTAATGAATTCTGGGAATCAAACTCAGTTTATCAGGCTTGGCCACAAGCATCTTTGCCCAGTGAACCATCTCAACAGACCTAAACCAGGCTCATTATATATTTTTTTTCTTTTTGAAGACCCCAGATCTTAAATTGAGGAAAAGTCCTATTGTAATTCCTCTGGCATATGTGAATTTAAATAGTCAATAGATTAAAACACCAGCAAGCATGGCCGGACAATGTCTTGAAGTTGGAAGAGGTCTCATAACCACCATACAGAGCAATTTGACCAGGGGTTATAAAAGGAAAATATAAACTCTGAAGGACAATTGGGTACCCTTGATATGATGTATAATTTTAAGAAGGCCTGTCTTGGTAAACCAAATATCTGAAAACTGAAAATAGACACAGAAACCAGGCAGATCTCACAAATTCTGAATTTTATATTAAAACTATGATCAGCAACCTCATCTTCCTTTGATACTTCTTCATAAGGTCTTCCTGACAAATTTTTTGCTAGCTTTTTGAGGTAGGAAATACTGGCCCCCCAAATTCTGACGACCAGTTCCTACCTTAAAGCTACATGATGAGGGGCTGGAGAGATGGCTCAGCAGTTAAGAGCACTGGCTTTTCCTCCAGAGGACCTGAGTTCAATTCCCAGCACCCTCACTGTAGCTCTTAACTGCCTGTAACTCCAGTTTTAGGAAATCTGACATCTTCACATAGAATACACGCAGGCAAAACATGACTGTACATGAAATAAATAAATTTTACACACACACAAATACACACACACACACACACACACACACACACACACACACACACACGATCAAACCAACTTTCATCTGATGGCTCCCTCATTTTTACTGGTACAGGGACAGTATGGCAGAGCAGGAGACCCCTATGATTGAGGAAAATTAGAAACAAACAAGAATTTTGTCCCCAGGCCCTACTCCCAACCTGTGACTAGGTACAGCTTACCGGATGCCACCTTTGAAAACTTACCTCTCCTCGTTGATGCCACACATGCGAATCCGGTCAGAACTGGTCCAGTTGTGCACGCCGCTGTAGAGCGGTGCTGTAGAGATCATGACAGCCACTCACTGCCAGATAGGATCTGTTGTGGCCACTCCCCCTGGGGAAAAAGAATACTGAGAAATTACAAGTGAGAACAAGCACAGATACTTTAACCACCTTTTACACTGAAACACTGAAATCAAGGTAATCATAGCATCAAAATGCTAAAGTGATCACTGTTACAAGGCAGCCTTCTAAAAAAAAATGAAGGTCCAAATAAGGAAAAGATCACACCAGCTTTCCAGTAATCCACATTTCAGGATGCCGATGAGGACACTGTCAATCACCCTGAGTGATTTTTAAATTATCTTCAAAGACACATATGCTTGAATGTTTGAAGAAATTCAATCTACTGCATACAGTTGAGGGACAATATATTTTTGACATACGTTTAGCCTAAGCAACCCCAGTCAGAGTGCTGCACCCATACCTGAGCAGCAGCAAGTGCAGTGAAAGACTGGGGGTCTTTTTCACAGCTGCTCTCTAATCCATGGATAGCGAAGGATCTGAGTGACACAGCCAATTTAAGCTCTCCAGAGGAAGCATACACTTTCTTTATAAGCCTTTCAAAAGTACTCTGCTCTGCTTCCAAGTTGGTCACAATGCATCTGTGTAAGGTGTAGAAAGCTCCCTCCAAATTAGGTGCAATACTCCTTGTACTGTGGCCACAATCAAATGAACAAAAACAAGCCTCCGTCAAGAACTATGCACTTCTGTCCTTGTGCTTTCCTATTAGTCTGTCTGCCCTGCCATGGCTTACTAACCCTTTCACGAGCCAATGTCTACTTCTTGCTATTGACAACCACTGCACAGTCCTTTCCTCTTTGACAGAAAAAGGGGTATCAAGGAAAACAACTGTATCCAGTGAGCCTGTTTTGTTAACCTATTAGCTAAAATCATCATTCACCAAAGTTCAACTGAACAGAGCCCTATGGTGATCAGAATTTTCTGCTGTTGTCTGTGTTCCAAAGAAGTCACAGTAATGTACAGTCGCATCAGAGATTTGCTCCACTTATCCTCTTCAATTTTCACAAATTGTTCATATTCAACATAATTCACTTACTCACTCAACAAACATTTGTCCTGGGTACTAGAGATTCAACAATTCACAAAACTCATACCTGTAGAGTGCTTACATTCTACAAGGGTGGTGACCAGAAGGATGATAAGCTTATTAAATTGTTCTGTCATAGTACATCCCAAGCTACACAACACAGACTAAGGAGCATGGGTACAATGCCAGGGGGAATAAGTGGAGGGGCTGTGATTCACAATAGGATGATCAACATAGGCTTAATCAAGAGGAAAACTACCTAAGGGGTATAAAGGAGTGAGCAATGAAGATACCTAGAGGGGATAACATTCCAGACAGAGGAAAGCCAAGTTCTCAAAGCAGGAGGAGGCTGCCTGCTCAGAGCAACCAAGAGCCAGATCATCATGATGGTCGGATTCAGGGAAGGTGGTAAGGAAAGAACAGTAGAGATGTATGTACCCATTGTTCTCTTCGACTTCATCTTATCCCATCTCTGCGCAAGCCAAGGGGCTCTGGTGTCCTTCCCCTTCTCTTTATGCCCCCTCCCTGCCTTTCCTGGCTCAGTGCTAGCTGGTTTCTCTGTATGTGGTCCTGCTGTTCTGCACCCCAGAAACCTGGCTGTTCACTGAAGATGAGCCTTCACATGACTCCCTCCTTCTCTTACTATCTCTTCCTCCTTTCTTTCTCCTCCTCCTCGCTCTCTCCTCACTCTCATTTTTCCTTCCTATCTTCTCAGATGTCTTGTGGCCCCTCCTCTTTTCTGACAACTCTCGGAGCACAGCCTCTTCCATTTCCCTTCCTGGCTGCTGCCTTCTCAGACTCTCCTTTACTTTATCTCATCCTCAGCATCTCCCTGTTTCCTCTTCACTCTGATGCTCCTTCTCCTCTTCCCTCCCTTGCTCCCCCTTCCATCCTTTCCCACCCCACTTCTCCACCAAGCCTCTGCTTGTCTCCCTCTCATCTTTCTGCCTAGCTCCCCTTCTTCACTCTGGGTCTCTTTCTGGCTCTCTCCTTGCTGTGCATGCCAGTCTTGCCCTCCATCTCTCTCAGCAGTCACAATGTCAATTCAGCCCTGGATGCACTGGTGACTCCTACATCTCTCGCTCTAATCCTGACCTCTCCCCATAGGCCTACAGCAGAATTCCAGATGCCAGCAACTTGCTGTTAACTGGATGTCCACTAAGCCTCTCAATCCAACATATCTCAGACCAGACTCATTATCTGTCCCCATAAATGACTCCTCACTTCATTCACCAGGCCGTCACAGCATGCTTCCTTAGTTTCTAGCACTACTGTCCTCTCACTTGAATCTCTTCAATGAAATGAGGTGTCAAGTCTTGATAAAGCCATCTCCCTTCCTCTTTCTACCCCTCTTGCCACTGCTCTGGTAGTCCTTCATTATCTCAGCCCGGGAATATTACACTGGCCTCTTTCTTAACTGCTCTCTCAGCCTCCCATCGCTTGATTCCACAATCAATTCATCTTCTGAAATGCTGCTTCGATCAGACCTCCCGACTCTCGTCAAAAGCCATCAGAATCAAGCTAGCTCTCAAGGCAGAATTCTTAGGACAGCCTTCAGGGCCCTCAGGACCTGGCCTCCAAACTCCTCTGCAAGCTCCTCTGCCCTTTGCCTGCAATCCTTGCCACCCCCAGCTCCTGCCCATCCAGTTTCAGGACTCTGCTGCTTCTGCACTCTGAAACGGCCTCCCCCGTACCCCTTCTTCCCCTCACGATCATCCCTCAATGCCTAGCTTAAATGTCATTGTGTCATTCCCCTAGCCTCAGCACAAGAACAGCTAACCCTTCCCTTTCTGGTTCTCCTCAAACCTTTCCTTCTTTCCTCTGTCCTACTGCATGTCCTCCTCTGCTGGGGTCATGGCATGTCTGTCTCTCCACCACAGGATCAGTTACTGGAGTTAAGGAATAACAGCGGTTTTTGTCTTTAGCTTCTCTGTAACACTTTACACATTGTAAGGACTCAGTAAATGCATGTTATATGGGACTGAATTCTAGATTAGACCTGAGGGAATGACTCTGAGAAATCACAAGAAGCAAAATAAACCAAAATGAAAAAGTGGCTACCATGCTGGCTTACTACCAAAAAAAACTCCATACATTATCTATAGTATACCTTTCAAGGCTGCTTGATTCTGCCTCAGTTCACTATGTATGTCCTGTTTTGTACCTCTACATTGCAAGTAGCTCAGGGGTATATAAACTCTGTCATGGTCCCATAAAGTTGGGAATGACCTCCTGCTTCCCACCCCACTGTGGAAAAACCAGTTTTACTTCCATTTGTAATCCCATTCCTTTACTCCACATGAATTTGTGATTTTGACCTTTTCTTTACACTAGCTATAGCATGTCTAGCTTTCTCATTAATTAAGAAGAAAAAATCCTTACTATGTGTTCATTTTTCTTTTCTTTTCTTTTCTTTTTCTTTTTTTTCTTTTTGGTTTTTTGAGACAGGGTTTCTCTGTGTAGCTTTGCGCCTTTTCTGGAACTCACTTGGTAGCCCAGGCTGGCCTCGAACTCACAGAGATCCGCCTGGCTCTGCCTCCCGAGAGCTGAGATTAAAGGCGTGCGCCACCACCGCCCGGCTTTTTTCAATCTGTTGAGAGAGTCATAATGCTTTCCTTTTCTCTGAAGATTATCTTTTGGGTCATAATGCTTTCCTTTTCTCTGAAGATTATCTTTTGGGTGGGGGAGCTCGAGACAGGTTTTCTCCACAGTCCTGGCTGTCCTAGAACTTGCTCTGTAGACCAGGCTGGTCTCGAACTCACCTGCCTCTGCCTTCCCAAGTGCTAGGATTAAAGGCATGTGCCACCACCGGCGGGCTTGAAGGTTATCTTTTACCATTACTAATGCTAGGGTAATTTTAAATACATCTTTAACTAAGACCCCATCTGCTAAGCTTAGTGATGCATGTAATCCAAAGAGGACTAAGAGTTCAAGGCCAGCTTGGGCTACATAGAAAGACCCTGTCTCAAAAAAAAAAAAA